TGATGTCACCATTTCCCAGGGGTTGTTAACAGAGGAGGTTGGATTGGGGCCCGCTTCCCCATCTTGTCTTTCAGGAATGGATCTGACTCCCGATCCTGCAGCCAGGCTCAGCACCAGTGGCTACCTTCTCCCCTACAGTGGCGGGGCTGCATCTGGAGGAGGAACAACCCCAGAGTCTTCCTATGAAGATTTGTGGTCTCATCTCTGCAGCCATATCTCAGGGGATTGATTCTGAACTGCAGCACAGGGGGCAGGCCTCTAGGTTGCATACCTCGACCAGGGCCTTGTCGGTACCTCTAGATTCTCCTTAACCCCTCCATTCCCTTCACAGTGAGGATTTGCTTGCGGGGGAGGAGGACTAAGGCGACCAGGAATTATCAGAAGATGAGGGCTGGATCCCTTCTCGGGCCTATTCTGCCCACCTTTTTTAAAATCACTATTATAAAAGGCTAAAACTACAGCTAACATGGAGGGATCTGCCATCCTCGCTGAAACCTCTGTTGGGTTAGATCCTATGGAGCGCCTCTTCACGGAACAAGTTCCAGAGCAGGAGGTCATACCATCTCCCAAACTGTTCCTGGATGTTATCCAGAGGCAGTGGGAGCAGCCCAGTTCTATCCCTCCTCCCAGCAACAATGACCGGAGATTTTATAGCTCTGGGCCAGAATTGGAGTGTTTGCTACAGATTCCTCTTGTGGGTCCCCCAGTAGCATCCCTTGCCTCACCGGCCATTGTTCCATCCGATGTGTCAGATGGTTAAAAGCAGAGGATTGCAAAGCAGAGACACATCAGGCGACTGCCTGGGCGCTTGGGGCAGCCACTGCTGCGTCCTTTAATAGGACTTCCCTAATTTGGCTCAGACAATTACAGGCCAGAATTCTCCTGGAGAATCTCCGTCTCCACCAGGATATTAACAAATTGGTGGTGGCTGTGGAGTTCTTGCTGTACGCAACACTTAATGCAGCTAAGTTTGTGTTCAAAGCAGTAGGATCTAACATGACGTCCCGTCACCTCCTCTGGTTGTGCCATTGCCAGGCTGACATGCGATCTAAGAGGAGACTGGCATCTGCGCCCTTTAAAGGGACTCACTTGACCCTATAATTGTGGAAACTAGGGACAAACGCAAGGTGTTCCCCTTTTCTCATAGACGACCCTATTTTCGGCACCAGTCCTTTAGGTTGGCTGACCAGGGGCATAGTGCCTCCCAGTATTCGTCCCAATATCACCGGTCGTACGCTCAGGTCCAACAGGTACCAGTTTTCAGAACAGGTCAGGGTTTCGTGACAGAGTTAGGCCACAACAGCAGCAACAGTCGCAGACTAAGTGGCCATTTCATGGGTCAAGCAACTGACTTTTTTGCCGATACAAGTGACTGCTGCTCTTTCCATCCCATTGATGGTTGACTCATGCATTTCACGAGCCAATGGGAGGCCACCACCACAGATGCCTGGGTGTTGTAAATGGTAAGATTAGGCCTTACTCTAGAATTTCTCACCACTCCTCCGAGACGTTTCATCCAATGCCCCGTTCCCAAGTGCCAGGTCAAGAAGGGTCTCATGGACATTGAGATCCAACACCTGTTGGACAGTCTTGTTATCGAGCCGGTTCCCTTGGGACAAGGGGGAAGGGGATTCTACTTGATCCTCTTTCTAGTTCCAAAGGGCTCAGGAGGGTAGAGAGCCATTTTAGATTTAAAACAGCTCAATATCTGGGATATAAGCGCTTCAAGATGCAGTCCCTCAAATCCATCTTAGGCTGTATCTGGCAGGGAGATTGGCTGACTTCCATAGACATCAGGGAAGCTTATCTTCATGTACCTATCCGCCCATCATACAGAAAGTTTCTGAGATTCCACTTTGCAGGGCGACATTACCAGTACAAGGCCCTGCCATTCGGCCTGTCATTTGCTCCCCGGATTTTCACGAAGCTGCTGGCAATGGTGGCCACACATCTACAATAATTCCCACTCAGGATACAGTGTTATCTCGACAACATCTTAATATAGTCATCGTTCGCAGCGCACGCACGTCGAGACCTTCACATTACAATTCAGGTCTTCCAGCAACACCGGTTCTCCGTGAACTTTCAAATGAGCCATCTCTAGCCATCCACCAGTTTACTGCATCTGGGAGCTGTGATCGATTCAAATGCATGCATGGTCTACCTTTCTCAGGAGAGACGTGGCAGCATCCGGGCGCTGGTGAATCAATTGCTGCTGCAGAGGTCAGTGTCCTTAGCAGTCTGTTCCAACTCCGGGGAAAATGATGTGTATAAACATTGTTCCCTGGGCACGACTACATGTACGAACCCTCCAATGGTTCTTGCTCCTGTTTCAGAGGGGCCACACCAGCAGCTCCAACACTAGGGTTCGATTACCACCCAGGCTAATCCGGTCATTGGTCTGGCACTTCAGAAGGTGTGCCTTTTCAGGGATCGCATCACAGTAACAACCAATGCCAGTCTATTCAGGTGGGGAGTCCATGCCCAATGCCCAAACTCTGGTCACCCAGGGACGTTAGAGCCCAGCGGACCTCCTGAACAAACTCTTCAGAACTTTCAGAATCTAGTGAGAGGGTGCCATGTCCTGATCCTTACCAACAACGTGGCCACCAAGGCTCACATCAACCACCAAGGGGGCATGCACTCAAGGGCCCCCATGCGGGAGGCGGAGGTGCTACATCTCCGGGCAGAGCGACACATTCTATCAGCCAGGGCAGAGCACATTTCCGGGACTGCGAACATACAAGCGGACTGGCTGAGCAAGGACATGGTTGCCAAATGGAATGGCGCCTCCATCCGGACCTGTTCCAGGAGCTAACCCACAGGTTCAGCCAACTGAGTGTGAATCTGTTCGTCCATCCCAGCAATACTCACCTCCTGAGGTTCTTTGCCAGGTTTCCCGGGGCAGAAGGCGTCAACGCTCATTGCATTGCCTGGCCACTGGGCATGCTGTACACATTTCCCTCTCTACCTCTCATCCCAAGGGTCATTTGGAAGGTACTTGCGGAGAGGTACTTGGTCCTGCTCATTGCCCTCCACTGGCCCAGATGTCTCTGGTACGCTGACTTGGTCAACCTTCCTGTAGACAGGATATCCCTCAGCCAGGGGGCACTTCTCAATCTAGAGCCCCAGTAATTGCAACTTGCCATCTGGTATTTGAAAGGGATATTTTAGTGCGGGACAATTTCTCCAGGAGAGTCATCCACACGATTCAGGCAGCCAGAAGAGACCTTCCACCACGCACATATACAATGCCACTTGGACTTCGCTTTGCAGATGGTGCCGCTCTAAACGCATAGATCCCAAATCTGCTTCGGTACCACAGGTATTGGATTTTTTTGCAGGATGGGCTAGCAGGGGCCTAACTCTTAACACTCTGCATCGTCAGTTGGCTGCCCTATTCACAGTTGTCTCGAGCAAAGAGGGCCAGATTCTTGCTCACCACCGATGGGTGCCTTCCTTCCTGAAGTGGACAGTGAACCTCAGACCACACATGGTGCATCGCTTCCCTACCTGGAAGTTGTCCATCGTGTTGCAGGCTCTCACCTTCACTCTGTTCGAATCATTAAGCACCATCAGCCTATGACTGTTGACTCTTAAAACTGCCTTCTTCGTGGCCATCACCTTGATCAGGAGGATTTTGGTCCAGTTGGTATGCCCAGATCTCTGCATATTTCATCCTGACAGAGTTGTTTTGTGGCTAGACCCCTCCTTCTTGCCCAAAATCAACTCGTGGTTTCAGAGGGCCCAGGAGATTATTCTTCCAAACATTACCCACATGCCTATGTACCTGTGCGAGAGAAGGTGGCATTATATCGATGTAAGGAGGACTCTCCGTAGGTATGTCAAGCAGACAGAATCATTATCCGTCTCCTTTCAGCCAGCATCCATGGGTCAGAAGGCGACATCTAACACCGTGGTTGAAGGCTTATGGGATCCAGGCCAAGCCAGTGCCCAGACGTATTACAGCTCACTCCACTAGGAGTGCAACTACCATCGTTGCCTGAGCACCTCAAGCTTCCCTTAGAGGGTGGCGACTTAGTCATCTCCATCAAGCATTATAAGCTGGATGTTTTTGCCTCTGCCGAGCCTCTTTTGGATGATGTGTACTGCAGAGGGTTATTGCTGCTCCTGAGACCCTGGACCAGACCAGTTCCCTCCCTTAAGACTCTATGCTTTGACATATCCCATGCTTGGATTCTCTAAGCAGTACATAAGAGAAAGACCATGGGCTTACCTGAATAGTTGTTCTATGTGCGCTGCAGAAGACTCCAACCTCACCCTTGTGACTGTCAGATCCAGGGTCTGTGGTTGTATTCCTACAGAACCTACCTGTAGGAATACATTTGCATTTCTCAGATAGCCTGCGCCTTCGTAAAAAACTGAACTCTTCCAGCCAGAAGAGGTGTGGCCAAGACACTTGGTCTCAAGGCAAATGGACAAAGTTAAATCCATGCTTGGATTCTCCCACAGCATACATAGAACGATCGTTCAGGTAAGCCAACAGTCTTTTTAGGCGGTCACACTGAGTGTTTCTGTGATATGGAGCTCTTGTGAGATAACCTAAACAATGCACATGTGTTCCTTTTAAATCAGAAGAAAAACATTTATGTTTATTCCTAAAGCAACTGTTAATTGCTGCCTATTTGTCTTTTTTTTTTCCTTTCAAGCTGCTCAGTTTATTAAACAGAAGCTTCCTGATCTTCTGCGCTCATATATTGACGCAGACGTCAGTGGCAATCAAGAAGGTGGCTTCCAAGATATTGCAATAGAAGTCTTGCACCTCCTTCTTTCCCATCTTCTTTTTGGGCAGAAGGGAACCTTTGGGGTTGGACAGGAACAAATTGAGGCTTTCCTCAAAACATTGCGCAGAGGTAAGTTATGCCCATTATGTGTCTGTTTGAAAAATTAGGTGGAGTTCTCTGGGTTGTTGCATCCCTGGGGTGCATGATTCCACTTGCTGATGACCTCAGCTGGTGATAGGGAAGGGGTTCATGTTGATCTTTCTTGATATCTCAATGGTTTCTGATAGTCACATTATTGTCAGCCGTGCAAGATACATGAGACCAAGAAAGAAATAGCATATGGGTCTAAAGCTTTTTTAACTAAAACAGCTATGATAATAGAACCTTGCCAGAGGTGAGTTTCAAGTCCCGGCACTACTGGTTTGCTCGTGCAGAAGCATCCAGGCGGATGGGCGGAGCCTCCTGCCTCCACCACTACTGGTTTGGCCAATCTGGGCTGGACAGGGAGCAACCAACCTCTGAATCTTGCACATCTCAATGTGCTTCCCCTTTTTTAATCTTCCTATGAATTGGGGGTTTGTGGTGGCCCCTCCATGTTGTTTGCATAAATCATTTTGTCCTGAGATGAAGCCTTATTTATTTGATCACTTCTTTGGGAGTGGATGTTCTCTCAGTTCTTCAAGGCCATCCTCTATCTCACCACAGTATTCTTCTGGACTGGATCTGGGGATTAGGAGTGGGAGACTCAAGGCTGTGGTAGTTTTCCTTTTTCCAGGGTCAGCTCAGTGGGAGCACTGAACCTGTGTCCCTTTGTCTACAGGCTATGAGGCACCAAATGGAGGAGAACAGGCCAGTCTGACCCTGACAAAACTGACTGGTTGGGGGTTTTGAGGCTCCCAAGTCCAGAGATTTTCCATCTTTAGCTCTGAATGTGGTTGCCTCCCCCAGACTGCAGGTGCACAAGATATGAGTCTTCTGGGACTCATGGCTCCTACTCCAAAAGCAGGGGTCTAGAAAAGCCTTTGCACAGGTTGTGTCCATATTTGTATGAGGGAGGCTACTCAAAGTAAATACAGTCACATTTTAGTTGGATTACTATAATGTGTTCTATGTGGCAGGGGTTAGGGTTAGGGTCTCCATCCTTGGCAACTTTACAACTTGTAGACCTCAACTCCCAGAATTCCTCAGCCAGCATGGTTGGGAGTTCTGGAAGTCATAAATCTTAAAATTCCAAGATTGAAGACCCTTGCTATATGGGACTGCTCTTGCATTTGAAACTTGCAACTGGTTCAGGATGAGCAGTGTGGGCACTTTTAAGCATTTTGTGATACAGCCATGTACCCCTTTGACTCACAAACTACCCTAGCTTTTAGTAGGCTGTCATGTGCAGTTCAAAGCGCTGGTTAGAAGTGCTGGCTTATCTACTAGACTTTTCATCAGGTATTTATTTTAACATCCATGTTTCTATGGAATGAACAATACTTGTAGTCTTGCTTAGAGAACAAATATCTAATCCCAAATCATGGACTCATCACAGTAAACAGTTATATCTTTCTCAGCCTTGAAAGCTGCACTTTTCGCTGTTAATTGGCAAGCAGTTAAGTTTTTGTCTGGGATCACATGAGAAATTAGTACTGTAGAATAATCCTGAATTGGTGATGAGCAAGCACATAAATTTAATAAATAATTAGAAATTCTATGCCAAGCAAAGGATACCTTTAATGATTCTGAGAGGGTGTGTTTTGCATATCTAAATCATTAAGTATATATACTTAAAATATCTATTGACAAAACAATAGCACAGAAATTGTCAACCTATGATTTATTAGATGGATATGGCCCACCACCTAATATCATCTGGCCTGTAGTCTCAAAAGAAAATGAGAAAGTGGGAGAGAGCAACTCGCCATCCACTCATAGGTGTGACTTCTGGCCCCAATGGAGGAAGGTTGCTGACCCCTGTTTTAGAAATTTCAGATGTACTTGAAATGCCAGGATCATTAAGAGTTTTTTAAATGAAATCAACAATTCAGTTTTACATGAAATTTAAAAAAGGCAGTGAAGAATAATGCTAGTAAATCCCAACCATAACACATGGAATGAAATTTTGGACAATTAACAATTAATTGCTTAATAGCATGATTTAGAATAAAAAACAGACATGATAACAGAACCTGTTTTTGTCTATGTGCCCATTGTGAATGCTAATTTTTTTTCCATCCCTAGATTTCCCTCAGGAGCGTTGCCCTGTGGTGCTTGCACCACTCCTATACCCTGAAAAACGGGACATTCTAATGGACAGGATCCTGCCTGACTCTGGAGGGATAGCAAAAACCATGATGGAGAGTTCTCTTGCAGACTTCATGCAGGAAGTTGGCTATGGCTTTTGTACAAGGTATTTCACTGAATTATTCAAAGTGTTTTTCAGAATGAAATAAAGATAATTTAAATCTTGGGAGTTACAACATACAGCATTGTAGGAGAATGCCAAACTTGTGCAATATTGATGTGATTATAATGTAATGCTCCATCTAGAACAGTGGTTCTCAACCTGTGGGTCAGGACCCCTTTGGGGGTCGACGGACACTTTCACAGGGGTCGCCTAAGACCATCGGAAAAAACATATTTTCAAAAAAATATGGAAAACATAAAATAATTTTATGGTTGAAGGCCACTACAACATGAGGAACTGTATTAAAGGGTCGCGGCATTAGGAAGGTTGAGACCCACTGATCTAGAACATCCATATGATGGTACTTTTGCTTAGTAATCTCCGCCTTTGAGATTTGAGGAGGATACCTGGATCACTCAAGCCAAGAAATAACTGATTGCTCTATTTTCAAATAGTTATTTAATCACTGCTCTGTGCTATTTAAATCTCAGAAGGTTGTTCCATGTGTCTGTTATTCTCCAAATCTGACTGCGGGTTTTATATTGGAGCCCAAGTATTTACCAAAAAAGAAAGTGCTTGAAATGTTGCTTCAAGCAAGAGTCCAGAAGTCCCCAAGGGATTGCAGAGTGAGGTGTCTGGAGCTCTAAGTGGACATAAACAGACCATGCCTTATCCTGAAGCTCACATGAAGGTGGAACAGAAATGTTTATATCTGGACACATAAAATCTTCAGTAACTGATATATTTTTGGGAAGGCCTTGGAAAGATATTCAAGTTGCTTAGTTACTCATCCATCAAAATTTTGGACCTAAAGTCATCTTAAGTACAGCCAGAATTATAAACAATTAAAAAGGCCTGGTGAGAGTATTTCAGAACTTTTGAGGATTACAGGAGAGAAGACCTGCTTTGAGTATCTGTCACTCATATCTCAGCACATGAGGACACCTTGTTTAACATAGGCTGAGGTGAGAATCTTGAAGGAGAGGTGTTCTTTCAGGTACAATGGGCTTAGTTTTGGAGAAGGACTAGCAGAGTCAGAGGTGAAAAGAGAGATCAGGCTAGAATCGCCACCTAGCCACAAATGAACTGCAGTGTTACACATCGCTATTCTCCAGTGCGCTGCTTGGAGAGTCCAAGCGTGGGGTTAACACAGCCTATCTGCCCTTGGACTGAGTAATGATTTTTCTTGACCAAGCCTCCCTTCGCCTCTCCATGTTCAGTTTAAAAACTCAGTCCACATGTTGGGACTGTTTTGGGAGTGCTCCAGTTCAAGAACAGATAGGCTGGGGTTCCCAATTGCATTTTGACCATCTTTCTTCGTATTTATCAACAAGAGTATTGTGCAGGTTTGATTGACAGCTGAGAAGTCGCCCGGGCCAGCCCTGTCACCCGCTGGTCGCAAGCGGTCAGGGTGTGCGAGCCGCTTGTCCAGCGGCTACTGGCGAGCGGTAGGGGAGGCTCCCACCCCCGACCGCCATCCTACTGAAGCTTCGTGGGCGTTTTGCCGCTAGCGGTTTCTGATCTGCCCGGCAACAGCGGCAACCATTAGCTGCTTCGCGCGATTTTGGTGGGTGGAGCTCCACACCCTATCCATTAGGGGGGAGCACCTATCTGAGATTGCAAGCGTCCAAGCAGACTGGCTGAGTAGGTCGACCGTGGATGATTTGGAGTAGCAGTTGCATCCAGATCTGTTCCATGACCTGTCCTATCGATTCGGCCAGCCAACAGTGGATTTGTTTGCCCATCTAATGAACACTCAGCTCCTGAGATTTCTTTGTCCAAGGAGTGGAAGGGGTGAATGCCCTTCGCTGCCCGTAGCCTGGGTGGTGGTGGTGTTTGCTGTATGCCTTCCCCCCTCTGCCTCTCATTCTGAGAGTCATTTGGAAGATATTGCGGAGGGAGCGGAAGTGTTCCTCGTAGCTCCCCACTGGCCCTGGTACACCGACCTCGTCAACCTGTCTATCTTGCGCCTTTGGTGGATTCCCAACAACAGGATTGTCCTCAGCCAAGGGGCCATACTACATCCGGGCCCCAATGGCTTCAATTAGCACATAAAGGGAACATCTTGAGGCAGGCCGAACTCTCCCAGAGGGTCATCCAGACCATCCAGGCGGCCAGACGACCTTTACTACCAGGATATACAGGGCAACGTGGGCAACCTTCTCCAGGTGGAGCCGCAGACAGGCGCTGGACCCAGTGTCAGCTTCAGTACCTTAGGTCTTCGAATTTTTACAGGACAGACTGGATAAAGGGTTGGCACTAACTACCCTTCAGAGGAAAGTTGCGGTGTTGTCCACAGTCCTGCCGTCGGTGGACTCTCATACTCTTGCTCACCATCCTAGGTTACGTACCTTCCTAAAGGGGGCGACCAACATCAAGCCTCCTGTAGTCCATCGTTATCCCACCTGGGACTTGACTCTTGTGTTACAGGCACTCACATCTCTGCAATTTGAACAGTTAAGGACCATCAGCCTTTGTTTGCTGACCTTTAAAGTGGTTTTCCTCGTCGCCATCACATCGGCCAGGAGAGTGTTGGAGCTGGCAGCCCTCTTGGCCAGAGAGGACCTATGTATTCTTCATGCAGACACAGTCGGCCTTAGTTTGGATCTGTCGTTCCTTCCGAAGGTCAACTCCTGTTTCCACCAGGGCCAGGAGGTCATCCTTCCGAATTTTTGTCCTAGGCCGAGCCATACACTGGAATGTAAATGGCACCTCCTCCATGTCCGTCAGGCTCTTCACAATGTTAAGCGCGTAGCGGCTTTTCAAAGATCAGAGGCCCTCTTCATTTTGTTCCAGAAAAGTGACGCCTTCTATCATCGGTCGATGGCTAAAGGCCTGCATAGCCTTAGCATATGAACACCAATCTCGACCTTTACTCAGATGTGTAACTGCCTACTTCATTAAGAGTGCGGCCACCACAGCAGCTTGGACCACACAGGCATCATTAGAGGAAATATGCAGGATGGCGACATGGTCTTCCCTGTCGCCCTTAAACAAACATTACAAATTGGACAAATTGCCTCAGCTGAGGTGGCATTTGGGCAACGGGATATGCAAAGGGTTCAATCGGAATCCATAAGCCTGGACCAGACCTCTTCCTGCCCATGAGACTTTGTTAGCTTGGGTATGTCTCATGCTTGGGTTCTCCAAGCAGCACACAGGAGAAAGTCTGTTGACTTACCTGAACGGCTGTTCTCTGTGCGGTGCGGGAGATTCCAAACCCGCCCTGTGCCCAGCTGGTCCAGGATTTGTGGACGGATTTGTTGACTTCATTTTACACCATCTTGGACATTCTTCTTACGACTGTGCTTCTTTAAAAAACTGACTTCCGGAAGCCAAGAGAGGTGTGGTAAAGACTTTTTCAACTTAGTCTCTAAGCTAATTGGCTGAATTTAACCCACACTTGGATTCTCCCACAGCGCACAGAGAACAGCTGTTCAGGTAAGCCAATGGACTTTTTCAAATAATTTTAGAACTATTTTTATTTCTGAGATCTTCACATTACTATGCATTTGTTGCTTGTATAAGCCCTCATTATTGTATTAAGTTACTTAATATGTACGAAGAGAGCTTTATTAATTGGGCAATGTAATATTTTAAATAAAACAAACATTATCTATCTTTCATACGTAGCGTGGAAGAATGTCGCAGTATCATCACACAGTTTGGTGTTGGAGAGGTTACAGCTGCCCAGGTTGCCAGGGTTTTGGGAATGATGGCTCGGACACATTCTGGATTGACAGATGGTATTCCATTACAGGTAAAAAAAACTAAAAGGGGCTTTAGCACTGTCAAAAATTAGGGGTTTTTTTCTGGAGAACACACCTGTTCTGATCTAGGCTTCCCAAGATCATGAAGCAGACACCTTGTCCAGATAAAACCTCTTTTATTTAAGTTAAAGGGAATTCCTCTCCAGCAAACAGTCTTTCATGAGATTTCACAACTACAGACCTTTATTAGGCTTTTAGAGTTGCCAGGCCTATATTTTCAAAATGCCATGCTGTAGCTTGGCAAGAAGTCAGGAATAGATCTTCATCCTAATGAATTGAACTAATTGTCTCCTGCAAACTCCCCTCCCCTTTCGTTCCTCTTCCCTATGGGAGGAGCCATTCACCGTCCACGTGCATTTGCTTCCTAGTTGGCCCTTGTTCCTTAGCTGTTCCCTTCTCCTGGCAGCTCTGCATGCGCACATTGGGAACAGTCTCCAGTTGTTCTGCTCCACTGATAACCAACACCGAAGGCAGCTGATAACTGTTGGTTGGCCCCGTCCGCATCTCTGCCTCTGATGCAGAGCACACATCAAGAGCCTTTCCCAGACTCCAAGACTGGCGCATGTTCCTCCCCAATCTCCTCACTGTCTGAGTCTGCTACCAGCTCTGCTGCCCGCTGGAGGGCCATAATAACACCCCTTTGATAGCACAATCTGTCATGGTCACTGTTGAAAGTCCACATCAGACATTTATCAGAAGGCAAACTGGAAATGAGGATGGTTCATGGGTGTCTGGCTGGTTCTGTTTTACCTTGTTAAAAATGAAAAGCAATACAGTAGTCTTCATTTAATGGCAATTTGCAGTTCAACAGTGATGAAATAGAAACTTTACAACCAATCCTTGCATATAGAAACTTTACAGGTCTGTAAAGCAAAGGAAAGTTGAGGTAAGGTCAAAAGCACAATCGCAGTTTAACTTAGTGACTGCTTTAACAAGCAAATTACCAGTCCACTGTTTGATCACTAGACAAGGACTGCCTGTATTTAAGAAATAGAGATAGGGGTCTTGGTAGGCACTAAGTAAATGTCCTTGAATGTAAGACTTACATTATTACCCATCCCTCTGTTATAAATGATTAGAATTTTAATTGACTTTAAAGTGAGTGAGTAGGGAACTGACATTTTCTTTTTAAACACTGCCCATTAAAATTGTGGTTTGTGCTTTCAACTTACTGATTATTTAAATCTGTCTTGTAGACATACAGAAGCAGCTTGTTGAATACGTGCTTGGAGATCATGGCAGCTCCTTTCCCTAGTTCAGTGGTCGCTACTGGTGTTCTTACAGCTGCCATTAATGCAGGATGGTTTAGCAATATAAAATGAAGGCAGAAGGTGGTGTATTGGGACAGAATACCAATCACGGACAGAGTTAGGTCTGCAAGTGGAACATCCAAGGGTACTTTTGCCTAGAAAGTTTATCAGTAGGCTGAGGAAGACTTATTAAAATATGATTTGTCAGGATAATAAATGTAAATGAAAAAAAGGATAAAAAGCGGGTTTCTTTGCTACAAATTTTTGACATGCTTTGAAGGTTTACCTCATGGGAGCTGGGAGAATGAATCCATCTACATGAGTTAAATATTTTATTCATCTCCAAAATACATTTACTCTCTAAAAGTAGTATAAATATGCATGTACATGTTTAATTTGCAGTCTATTTCTGCCCCTGGAAGTGGAATTTGGAGTGATGGAAGAGATAAAAATGATGGAACACAGACTCATACATGGAATGTTGAAGTTTTGATTGATGTGCTTAAAGAACTGGTATGTTCATAAAATGAAACCCAAAATGTATTTCTGGAATTAAGAAACTATTGCTCATTTAATGACTACTGGGGTGTTACTGTTGTGGCACAAGTTGCAGGTTTTTTTTGTCTTGATAAAAAAATATCCTTTGCCACACATGCATGCTATTTATTTAGATTAGAGGTGTCAAATTTAATTTCATTGACGGTTGCATCAGCATTATGGTTGCCCTCAAAAGACCAGTTGCATATAAGAGTATGATGACTCACAATGGCCAGGAGGGTGTGGCTGGGTGACCACAGCTGGGCATGACCGGGTGGGTGTATCCGGCTCGATGCCGATCCTTGGGCGCAACTGACTTGGGGGTGGAGCAAGTTGCCCTGGCTAACTCGACATGGGGACAGTTTGGTGCCCCACAAGCCCCCCACCTTCCCAAACTGCTGGCAGCTGAGCATGTGTGTGCACACACACACCGCATTCTAAGTTTGGGGACTTACCCACACAGGAAAGAGAGGGCGAAGCCCAGGCAATATTGGCAGTTTGCAAGTTCAGATGTGGATAAGTCTCCAAGCCATTCACACTCACTTCCAGCCCGCCAGAGTTTGCTGCGCAGTGTGAGTGCCCCCCCCCCCGCGCATGCTCATGCGTCCCTTGCCCTCGGCATTGGCCCGAAAACCAGCTGGCTGGCGGGAGGCACACCTGCATTTGCATGCTAGTGGAGCTGGGCTGGAATGGTTGACGTACCCGCAGTGAGGGCTCTGCATGCCACGGATCTAGGTGAACAGGAATTGTTGGAGGATGAGAGGCCGCTGCCTGACAGACCTGCTTTCTCTGGACTCTTCCGATCCCCCTTGTTTAAATCTCTTTTGTACAAGACCATGACCATGGCCAATATGGGATGTACTGCTGTCCCAGCTGAAGCTTTGTTGGGGTTGGATCCGACAGAGCGCCTCTTTTCAAAGCAGGTCCCTGAACAGGAAGTTATACTATCTCCAAAGCTGTTCCTGGACATCATCCAGAGACAGTGGACCCAGCCTGGTTCCATCCTTCCACCTAGCAACAATGACTGGAAACTTTACAGTTGCGGTCCGAGCCTGAGGGAGGGGGACTCCTGCAGCTCCTGACTGTAGATCCTCCCATAGCCTCCTTGCCCTCATCTGCCATTGTACCATCCATTGTATTGGAGGGGCTAAAGGCGGAAAACCGCAAGGCAGAGATGACACTCTGCAAGACGCATCAGGCAGCCGCCTGGACGCTTCGAGCGGCTACAGCTGCCTCCCTTTTAATAAACCAACAAATTGGTAGCAGCCGTGGAATTCTCCTCTGATGCAACTCTTAATGCTGCCAGGCTTGCATCTAATGTGATGGCCCAACGTCTCTTTTGGCTTCACCACTGGCAGGCGGACATGCATTACAAATGGGGCCTGGCTTCTGCGTCCTTAGGGGTGGCTTCTGCGTCCTTAGGGGTGACACACTATTTGGAGAGGCACTAGATCCCATCCTTGTGGAGACTAGGGACAAGCGTAAGGTTCTCCCATACACATACAGACAAGCCGACCGCAGGGTAACAGTCCTTTCAGGCGGGAGATCCGGGTTTCAATGCATCCCAGTATCATCGATTCTACCTTCAAGGGCCTGACTGATCTCAGGACAGATCAAGGTTCAGGAACAGAGGTAGGCAGCAACAGCAGCAATCTCCAACCAGGTGGCCATTTCAAGGGTCCAGTAACCAGCCCTTTCGTAGGTTCAAGTGACACTCCAACAGATCTACCCATTTGTGGTCGCTTGAAATACTTCGCAGCCCCTCGAGACATTTCATCGGATGCCCTGTCCCCAGGTGCCAGGTCAAGAAGGGCTCCAGAGAGCTTTGAGTCAGACCTGTTGGGGAGCTTGCCTCGCTCCCTGCAGGCATCCAAAGCGCCTCTCCTTGTGCCCCGTCCCTTCAGGATGGTTCCAGTCCACAAAGGACCTCTCAACAACAGCTTGCCAGCTGGCTTTTCGTGTAGCTCGGCACAGCTCCTATTTTCCCAGCTGTTCTCGCCGGGGCGCTTCTGGGTATTTCCTGAAGTGTGCACATATGTTATATGTGTTAGCTGAAGATCCTCCTGAGCTTTTCCAATATTTTTGCAATGTATGGAATGGCAATGTTCCTTCATTTATTGTCTCTTTGTATGCTTTGAAGCTCCTACTGGGTCTTTTTGGAGGATTTGATGAAGGCCCACTTGGGATAGTCACATGTTCTGATGGCTTCCTTGGTGTGTTTTGGTTCTTTTACTTTCCCTTTCCCTTTTCTTTGTTGGTAGGCAGGGTTTCAGCTCAGCAGTGTAGGGTTCTTATCTTGGATGAGAAGCGAAATATCTTGAAAGAAAAACAAAGTCCAGTTCATCTTGAAAAAACATGTCAGGTTTCCAAAAAATGCCCTAATTGATTCAGGAGTCTCGAGCCAAATTTCAAAAGAAAATAAGTCATCTATTAGGAGCATTTATTTTGGCAAGACCTTTTTACAGTCAGATCTGAGTCTTATTTGAGTTATAGCTGAACTTTACCCCTGTTCCTTCCCTCCCCTCAGTCTGTGTCATAAATCACATTCCCCAATGAGGTGCACCCCTCCCAAATCTGCTGCAGTAATCTGAGATCTGATTCTAGCCAAAAGTATGTGTGGAATGTGTTCCCCCCTTTCCTCACCATGGCAACTTTAGGAGTTGACAAAACACCTTTGGGACAACTGTGACCTGGATGTGAGAATCTCCATAAAATAGATTATCAGAGAAGAAGGCACCAAACTGACAGTCCCAAGTTCATTCAGGAACTGGTCTTAGTGATTTAAACTCATTTGTGGTAGTCCAGTGATTTGGAGTAATCCTGATGCTTTCCTAGGGTTGCTACTCATGTTAAGGGTTTGATTTATTCCAGGCCCCCAAAGTAAAGCTCCTTGTTCCTCTCCTATTTTCTGCAACACCCCCTTTTTGTGCCTTTGCTTTATGTGAGCAGTGCGTATGCTTTCCACTCATGTTTTCCACCCATACTTCGCACTAGAGCAGAGGGCACATGTGATCATTCACGAAGTTTCACTCAAGCAAGTGGAGAAAATTCATGCACATTCAGTTGCCCAGCTCTCTGTGGCCTAGTTTCGAACAGGCCACGGCCTGTTGGGTACCCCTGCTCTAGATCTCCTTTTAACTCTTAGTTCAATTTAAAGTGCCACCACAATGATTTCCTAAATTGCCCCCATATTCATTGGAGCGATGCCTGGTTGTACTGCAGTGGCGCAGTGGTTAGAGTGCAGTACTGAAGGTTACTTCTGCTGACTCCAATTTGGCAGTTCACCAGGCTCAAGGTTGACTCAGCCTTCCATCCTTTGAAGTCAGTAAAATGAGGACCCAGATTGTTGGGGGCAATATGCAGACTTTGTAAACCGCTTAGAGAGGGCTGTGAATCACTGTGAAGTGGTGTGTAAGTCTAAGTGCTACTTCCAGTAGTTTATCTTTTCAAAAGTTCCCAGGATATGTGTACACTGTTTGAGCTGAGGAGGTTTTCCATGGGATCCTGTTTAGTCCTTCTCCAAGCTGGTTAAAATTGACTCTCCTGAGACCATAGATCTTGTGTCCATAGATTGCATAGATATCCTTCATTGCAGCCTCTCTGAAAACTTTGTCATATTGTCCAGAAGCATCTTATCCAGGTCTTCTGCCTATGTGACAACTCCAACCCCATTACTGCCTGTGATATAACCCAGATGCTCTGAACTGGATCTTTTGCTGGTTTTCAGTTATGTGTGCATTTCACATAGAGTGCTACTCATCCTTCTGTCTGCTCTTACTTTTGAATAGCTTCTGCCCTTACATACCATTCAGGAGTTGTTCCCACGTGTTTCAGTAATGCCTGCTAAGCCAGCCTTTCCTGGTTAAGAACTTGCTTCTTCTCCATGCTGTGTGTTATTTGTATAGCAACATGGAGATCCTGGGTGCCTCTGTGTTCTGCAGACTTCTTCCAACCCCATCCCATTCTCAGTGCTTGACCTCGTGCTGTTTTCTGGACTATTTTCTCCTTTCTCCATAGCTTTCAGATTTGCATGTTGTCTTTCAAACATATTCTTCCCAGTTTTGTGAGATGCAGCCCATCTTTTGCCAGGAGTCTGCTGCCTTGAAAATGTGTCCGATTATCAAAAACCTAAAGTTTGCAGTGTATGATTGATTACTTGTTGGCTTCCAATACATTTTTTGTTCTCTCTGGATCTAGTTCCTCCATTTTTCTTCCCAGCCCTTCATAGATCCTTGTAATGTCCTTAAGTTTGTGTCTGGCTGAGTCATTTGAATTCTCTAGTAGATCAAGAGAATGGGCTAACTCTCAGTGGATGTAAAGAGTCTTAAAATATTTTTTGTTCATACCGTATATGTCTTTGAGGGAGGAAGAGCTGTCTTGTTCTCTTGACAAATTATCCAGTCAGAGAAGGCTGCTTCAACTCCTCTCTCAGTAAGAGTATCTGCAGTCACTGCCTCCCTTTGGTCCAGGGCAGAGGTGGGGATCCTCCTTCCCTTGCAGAGGGCCTGGAGTCTAATTTCTTGATTTCCGAGGCTGTGGATAGCTGCTCTTCATGTAGGAAACCTAAAACATCATCAGTGGCAAGGGAGGGGAATCAGATTCCTTCCAGCATACTCTTCTTGATTTTTTTTTATCTTCTGGGAGGCTGACTGTGCTACGTTAATCCATGGAAAAGTGGGAAATATTGCATATTAAACTACTACCTCTTTATATCCTCTGCAGAACCCAACCTTAAACTTCAAGGAAGTAACCTATGAGCTAGACCACCCTGGATTTCAAATTCGTGATAGCAAGGGCCTGCAAATTGTAGTATTTGGAGTTCAGCGAGGATTAGGACTGGAGGTTTTTCCAGTTGACCTAATATACAGACCTTGGAAACATGCCGAAGGCCAGGTAAATATACAGCTCTCTGTTCTTTCCCCCATTTTCATTTTTTTCTAATGACTATACTACTGTTTATGAGATTTACTTATTTGTTAATTCACGAGTCTTTACTTGGGTGTAATATGATCTAGATTTTTTTTTAAATAGCTAATCTTTCAAATGATAAGCTTGTGAATGAATACTTGGGACTATCAGTACATATTATTAGATTTCAAAGAATTAGGATTTCTAGCAAGGGAAATATCAACAATCACAACCTCTTTACTAATCATAGATGTTAACTAAAATTAAACTTAACTTTGAGAGCTGCAAGGAATAAAATATTTGTTTTAGAAACTGAGCTTTAGGCATATGAGATTTTTTCTCCTTTCTAATAATGCAATAATTCAGTGTTACAAATGATACATTGGTTGTGGCAAGAGAATAAATTGATTTTTTAAATTTTGTTTTGAAAGCCAGCAGGAAAAATAAAAACTATTCTAAATGCATTAGAGTGGGGACAAAATGTGAAGGAAAAGATGATCCACATGTAATGTGGTTAAAGGCCTGAAATGATGATTCCAATGATGTCATTTTTTGCAGCTCTCATTCATTCAGTATTCCCTCATTAACCCAGAGATCTTCTGTTTTGCTGACTATCCCTGTCATACTGTTTCAACGGAGATCTTGAAAGCACCACCCGAGGATGATAATCGAGAAATTGCCACATGGTAAGCAGCGCTGCTTTTCTTAAAATGCACTTGCTTGGCCGGGTCATAGTGAGGACAGGATTTATCATGAGACCTCTCTGATGGAAATAATTTTTTGAAGCTGCAAAAGCACAGATAGTTATATGAATCAACCAAAGAGGGGCAGTTTGGTTAAGGCACCAGATAGAAACCAGGGGAGATTGAAGTCTAGTGCCGTTTTAGGCACGAAAGCCAGTTCGGTGGCTTTGGGCCAGTCACTCTCACCCAATCCAAACTACCATATAGGGTTGCTATGGGGAAAAAGGAAAGAAAAAGAAATGTTAGGTATGTTTGCGGTCTTGTGTTATTTATAAAAATAATAAAGGTGATATATTAAATAAATTAAATTGTAAGGTTCATAGGGGAATAGTTCCAAGCACTAAATGTATTGGCTAGACTATAATCAGTTGCATAAACATTAGATGTGTAAATTTCATGGATGATCCTATTTTTTATACTTTGCAATCATGAGAGATGAGAGACTCTAGGAGGGACATGTAACTCTGAAGCCTTCGCAGCCTATGTTTTTAATTTTTAGCCTTCCTTTTCCAAGCTTTGAACATTTATTTTCAAGCTTTTTCCACTGATAAATGTAGTCAAACACCAGAATAATTCAGGACAATTAAAACTCATTAAAAGAGCCAGTTCACAAATATTTCCAGTGTACACAGTGAATATAGTCTTTTGGGTCCCAGAAATGTGGGATTTTCTGTGCGATAATTAGTGTTTTGAATTGCATCCAGAAGCAGACTAGCTATTTTAGGAAGGAATCCAATGTACATCACAAGCAGGTGCAGGGTCAGTCTGGCTGTCATATTCTGGGCCAGTTGTACACTTTTCAAAGCAGTCTCTTGTGGGACATTATACTCTAAGAATCCAAATGGGATTTTATTAGAAGGTGATCTTCATTGATGTGTACAAAGGATAGCAGCATTTTCATTGCAAGTATAAATGTAGAAGTATTTGATAGTCACAAGTAAAGCTAAAGTCATGCGAACTTGCTCATAGATTTCAATTTTGTTTCTTCTTTGTTAGGAAGAGCCTAGATTTGATTGAGTCCCTGTTGCGGTTGGCAGAGGTGGGCCAGTATGAACAAGTCAAGCAGCTCTTCAGTTTCCCTATCAAGCACTGTCCAGATATGTTGGTCTTGGCTTTGCTACAGATCAACACTTCTTGGCATACTTTGCGTCATGAACTCATCTCCACACTTATGCCCATTTTCCTTGGCAACCACCCAAATTCTGCTATCATCTTGCATTATGCATGGCACGGGCAGGTAAGGGCAAAAGTGGAGATCTCTTGCTTTTTCTTTGGGCTCAGAAGAATGGTGTCAGTATGGTTTAAGTTATGTGATGTGTTTCGAGCTGCGCTCTGTTGTTGAATATGCCAGTGGCCTCTAACCTTTTCAACACCAAGGACCGGCTATGTGGAAAGAGGCTTTTCTGTGAACCGGGGAGACGTGGTTACGCAGTCTGCCTGCATCCCACATGTCTGTAGATGGGGCTTCACTCATTTGTGTGGCCCAGTTTCTGGCACGCTGTGGACTGGTGGCCGATTTGTGGGCCGGGGGTTGGGGACCCTGTTGTATGCTATGAAGTCATTGAGAGAGATTGTCTAGAACAGGGGTGTCAAACTCAAGGCCCAGGGGCCGTATCCGACCTGTGGGGTGCTTCGATCTGGCCTAAAGGGCCAGCGTGGAAACAGCGAAAGACCGGCTCGCGGTGTCTCTGCCAGCAAAAAATGGAGGTTGGGAGGGCCTCGTGTGGCCCTCCTGAGCTCTGTTATCACTGGCAGAGGGTTGCAGGAGGCTGCTGCAGCTGAAAACGGAGCTCGTGAGGGCTGCAGGTGGCCCTCCCAAGATCGGTTTTTGCTGACGGAGGGTTGCAAGTGGTCGTTGCAGCCGAAAACAGAGTTCAGGAGCCCATTTTTGCTTGCAGAGCTCTTAGGCCACCACAGGCACCCTCGACACAAGTGACATCGAGCTGGCCATGCCCACCCTGACCTCACCCACCCAGACCCTGATGCAGCCCTCAGTGAAAATGAGTTTGACACCCCTGGTCTAGAGTGTTGGAGTTCACTCTAAATAGCCTGATGATTTCCCAGCTCTCTTTGATGTTTAGCAGAGCCAGGAATAAAGGAGAGCCAGCATGCTCACATTTTCGGTCCTGGGCAAACCGGTTGTTATATTATGTGACACCCACCTCTGGGAGCAAGGATCTGGTCTCTGTCACCAAGCCAACAACTAATTAATTATGGGAATAGACTAACATTTAACTATGTTCTTAGGGTCAGTCCCCCTCGATTCGTCAGCTCATCATGCATGCCATGGCAGAATGGTACATGAGAGGAGAACAATATGACCAAGCAAAATTATCACGTATTCTAGATGTGGCCCAAGACTTGAAGGTGAGTCTAATTTTTTTGTTGCTTCTATTTTGGATCATTATAGTACTAGTGTTGGTGCCAAACATGCAGTTCTGGCCCAGAGGAAAGCTGCTTGTTGTTGTTTTTTTGTGCACATTTCTTTAAGTCATTGTATCCCACCTTTATTATTTTTATAAATAACTCAAGTCAGCAGATATATTCAACATACCTTTCTCCTATTTTCCCTCAACAACAGTTTTGAGATGTATTTATTTAATTTATTGGTGAAATTTATTGGTTGCTCAATCATAAAAGATGAATTATTAAAAGATGGGGAGAGTGGGGGCAGGATGAGGGGGAGGTTGTATCTGTTGTTAATCACTCAACCACCTCCACTGGGATGCTCCGCTATTGGAGCCCCAAGCTATCTGGCAGAGCCAGGTCTTTAGGCTCTTATGAAAGATTGGGAACTTAACTATTGATACTCAACCATATTTCTCTAGTTAGACTGGGACATATATATCGGGATTATTCTTCCAAATAGTAAAAAAGAGGACCATACTTTCACTAGTAGCAGTCGTACGGTAATGCTGTACCTTTTTGGCATAATACCTTGGGGACATACAATACCATTACTAATCAAGTAATTAAATGCCTACCAGATTTAGTATATTGCATTTATTTAGAAGATTGAATCCCAAACTTAAAAATAAGGAACGTATCTGTTTAATTTTAGCAATTAAAATGCTGTAAAACTTTTCAAGGTTTTTCAGTTGCTAGATTAGAAAAATCACAGCCAAATTTAAAATAATGAAACATCAGAGCAGGAACCACAGCTATTAAATTTTCATAGATTTTATACTTTATCTCAATATTAACATATAATAGTGACATTATTGACATATATGATAAGAGCCATTGTGGTGCAGTGGCTATTTACTTATTTTTAAATAGATTTTTGTGTTTTCTGAACATTTTTACTCTGAATGTCTTGCATATTTGTTATCTAATGACTTGATAGTGTTTGTTAATGATAGCCTTTGTGTATGTGTACAGACCACATATATAAAGAGGATAAAAATAACAAGAAGAACAAAAAAGGAAATAAACATTATATCAAGGGGAGAAAAAAAAATCTGCAACCATAATTTGGGCTTAGCCTAGGTTTAGTAACAAAACCAGATCTTTTAAGTTCTTTCAGAATGGCCAGCAGGGTTAGGGTGAGTGTGTTCTCCAGGGGAATGTGTTCCAGAAGAAAAGATCTCATCCTGAGTCTACTTCCCTGGTAGATTGAATACAGACCATGGCCCTCCTGGATCTAATGGGATAGGTAGATACATCTGGGGAGAGACAGCCCTGCACTTAAGCTGCTCCCAAGCCAAACTATTCCCCAGTTTGTGCAAGAGAATCTAGGTAGCCATAATATAATACATTGATGTTGGATTTGACAGATGAACAAGGTACTTCAGTTCTCAAATAATTATATTTACTTTGGAGATCTTCTAGTCCATTAGTTATTATTTAGAATAGTCCATTAGTGGTTATATGGGTAAGGTAGGGTAGGGTAGGATAGTTGGAAGGTACTTTGGAGGTCTTCTAGTCTAATGCTTGCTCAGGCAGGAAACCCTATAACATTTCAGACAAATGGTTGTCCAATCTCTTCTTAAAAACTTCCACTGTTCGGCATTCACAACTTCTGGAGGTAAGTTATTCCACTAATTAATTAATTGTTAGTTAGTAGTTTGTGAGATGGTATTTACAAACCATGGCACGACATAAGCGTGAACGTTAAAATCGCGGCGATAAAGCCGCGCCGTCATCACCACGCGTCATCACCACCGCTACAACAGCGCGGCAACAGAAGGGCGCTTTAAAACGGCGCCGCAGCAGAAAGCCGACTTCATTTAAGGTTAGCGTTAGGATTAGGTTTAGGGGTTTGTTTTAGGGTTAGGTTTAGCGTTAGGTTTAGCGTTAGGTTTAGGGTACTGAGTGCTTGGGAATGCGCGATTTTGCCCTCTGCGATTATGTCATCGCGGTAGGGTAGCTTAGAACAGCGCGAATTAGTCTTCGCGCTTATGTCTCCGCGCAGAAGGGCTTCGCGGATTTGTGGTGGAACCTTTACAAACTATTAGCTTTGGTTCTTCCAGTATATTAGCTTTCAAATATTCAGTATATTCCAATATTATTGAGAGCTCCATCAAAATACCTGCAGTTCCTGGTCCAGGGTGAAACAATGGTAAATCTGAACTAGAAGGATATAGCCACCAATTGTGATGCTGAAGACGACGATTGTTTCAGGTGAAGGAAAAATGAGAAGGATGACTAGATTTCTGCTTCTGAACACCTTTCCGTCTTCAGCAGACATGTCCTTCTTGGGCCATTCATTTCTCTAGCACACACCCTACATTCACCCTGCTATTTTTTAGGATTCCCAAAGAACTTCCACCTGGGAAGACAGGTTGCTTTCTTCCCACCACAAATGCTGTGCAGTGGAAATGAATTTGCAGACCACTACAGGAAGGCTAGTAGAGAAGTCAGGCTTGCCATATGGACTAGCAGCTTTTTTTTTCTTTAGGCTTTGTCTATGCTGCTGAATGGTACTCCATTTGCCTTTGTTATTGACCTTGCTGCCCTTGCCTCTCGGCGGGAATACCTCAAACTAGACAAATGGCTCACAGATAAAATTCGAGAGCATGGGGTAAGTAAGGTTTTCTTAATTCATTCTGCAAATTGTTTTCTGATGAAAACCGTTGCTTATTTTAAAATGTCCTGTTCATGTGTGCAAAGTATGACATGAAATGTGTTGAACTTTAACTCACTCAATGCTTATCTACTTCTATTTATTTATTTCCTGCCTTTATTTTTTTTTTTATAAATATGAAGCTATTTTCGTGATACTATATGCATCTCTTACAGCTTTGCACTTCTCCTCCTTAGGAGCCCTTCATCCAAGCTTGTATGACTTTCTTGAAAAGAAGATGTCCCTCTATCTTGGGTGGTCTTGCTCCAGAGAAAGACCAGCCCAAAAGTGCTCAACTTCCACCAGAGACCCTAGCAACAATGCTAGCTTGCCTTCAGGCTTGTGCTGGGTAAGCAAATTATGGTCGTCTTTAAAAGAATGTCTGTTTAGGGGCTAAAGCAGAGGAGGGGGAGTTCAGAGTGTGATATTCTGTGGCTCAGCTACTGATCCACTTGGTTAATAAGGTTGAGGTAAGAACTTTGTGGACAAAGTTGAAAAGAGGTATGAATTTTAAATATAGAACACATGGATAATCCTCAACATTGTTAATATGCAAAATATTATTTGTCTTAAACCAATAAATGATATTTTCTTCTATTTATATATCCCATATTGGATCTACGTTTAATATTTACATATTACAGAGTCAAAATGGATTCATCATTATTTCTTGGGTACCGTATTTTTCAGAATATAAGATGCACCAAGGTTTTGAAAAGGTTTTTTTTTAAAGTAGGTGGGTGGATAGAGAGATAGAAAGGGATGGAAAGAGAGAGAAATACAGTAGGTAGGTAGGGAGAGAGAGAGAGTAGTTAGGTAGGTAGGTAGATAAAGGGATAGAGAGAGAGAGAAATACAGTAGGTAGGTAGGGAGAGAGAGAGAGTAGTTAGGGAGGTAGGTAGATAAAGGGATAGAGAGAGAGAGAAATACAGTAGGTAGGG